GAGAAATGCAGGCTCGGCAGAACTACCATTAAGTGGATACATAATTGATTAAACAACCGCAAACAAAGAGTAACTATTAATGGAATGATGACAGACTGGAGGGATGTTTCAAATGGGGTTCCACAAGGATTTGTTCTGGGTCCAGTGTTGTTTAACATCCTTATTGATGACCTGGATGTAGGTAGAGAAAGCACATTGATCAAGTTTACAAATGACACAAAGATGCGGGGGCGGGGTTGCCAATACTTTGGAGGACAGAGCTAAAATTCAGAGGGATCTTGATAAATTGGAGAACTGGGCTATAGATAACAAAATGAAATTCAACAAAGACAAATGTAAGGTGCTACACTTGGGGAAGAAAAACCAAATGCACAAATACAGAATGGGGGAAAACTGGCTTGGCAGCAGTACTGCTGAGAAGGATCTGGGAGTTGTGGTGGGTTTCAACCTCAGCATGAGTCAGCAATGCGACACTGTTGCAAAAAAAGCAAATGCAATTTAGGCTGCATTAACAGAGGCATAGCATGAAAGTCATAGGAGGTAATAGCACTGCTCTACGCAGCACTGGTTACACCTCAGCTGGAGTACTGTGTCCAATTTTGGTCACCAATGTATAGAAAGTATGTAGAGAAACTGGAAAGGATCCAGAGGCGAGCGACAAAGATGATCAAAAGGATGGAATGCAAGTCATGAGAGCAAAGGCTGAAGGAACCAGCTATGTTTAGTTTGGAAAAGAGGAGATTAATGGAGACGTGATAGCAGTCTTCAGATACTTGAAAGGCTGCCATAAAAAACTGGAGAAAAGTTGTTCTCTTTTCCCACCGAGGGGCAGGACAAGAGGCAATCAGTTCAAACTACAGCAGAGCAGATTTAGATTAAATCTCAGGAAAAACTTCCTAACTGTAAGAACAGTAGGACAATGGCACAGACGCCTCGGGAGGTTGTGGAAGCTCCTTCACTGGAGGTTTTCAAAAGGAGGCTGGATAGCCATCTGTCGGATGGTTTAGACACAACAAATCCTGCAACTTGGCACAGGGTTAGACGAGATGACCCTTTGGGTCCCTTCTAACCCTATGATTCTAAGATAGTTATTACCCTTTTTAATCCTATCCAAGAGACTCCCAAACAAGGCTTTTTCTTCCTTCTAAAGACTCTCTATAGAGAAGGGGAACAAGGGATATTGTTAAAACAAAAGACTTCCTTAATACTGTACATTTTGAATGCTTTAACTGTTTTTCCTTCTTTTTCTGTACCTTTAATAAGAGAGTAAAAAGATTGTTAATCGTGTGTTTTCCATGCTAATAAGCAGGCTGAGGACTCTGTATTCCAAAACCTCAAACCTTGTTTGACTGTTTAGTGTTGTTCAGTGACAGGGTCATGTTAACACCCTGGACTCTCTGGGCTCCTTTATTCCATCAAAAATAACATAACAGTGCTCCCCTATTTCTCTCTTCCTGCGCCCATGCCAGGGTCCTCCATTCCCACCTGCCCCCTACGCCAGGGGCTCTCTGTGTGCCCTCCACTTCCCCCTCTCCTAGGGTCCCACAATCTCCTCCCACGCCTGGGGTTCTGCATGTGCCTACATTCCCCCTATGGCCCTATTCCTTCCACTACTCTTCTATTTTTTTCTTTTTTCATTTCTTTCTCTTTCAGAGTGTTAATATTTTATAACTATACTGGGACTATGCGCAGAGCTAAGCTGGGGGAGAGGGATGGGCACTGTCAACTTGTTCTTTGATCTGTAGACAATTAGAAAGGTGAGTGAAGCTGCTGGCTCAGCTAATCAGATGCCAGGGGGGTCCATGTATCACCCATGTCCCCCTTTCTGTTTTTCTGATTGTGATCAAAATCAAGAAGGTTCTGCCCACAAATGCCTAGAACATTCCCTAAATTTTGGAACTGACCGGATGTGGTATTGAAAAGTTATGACAGCCAAACAGAGAAATGCCATTGAGTTGAGTGTTAGACCGCACTTCGCTTGGCCAGCAACATGGGGTATGCTCAAAAAGCATCACTGGTATGCTGGAAAGCATTAACTCTAGTTACATCTGTGCAATCTGACTTTCATAAGAGTGACTGGTGACATTCTTGTGAGGTATGAAAAATTAGCCTCATATTTTGTAACTGCATTTAAAGGGATATTGTAAACTTGAAATCTAGTCAATAAAAAATAATGAGTTAAAGGTAGTTTCAAGTATTACATCCTCTTCCAAGGTTGTAATTTTATAAGCAGTTTTTCTACTTTAAAAAAAATTCTCTCCCATGTTGCTGTGCTAAAGACTCACACAAACTATCTGCACGGCATTTTTTTATTTTGTCTGTTTTAGGAAAGGGCGAATAACTCCTCCATTGAAAACACAATACACGTAAGCTAGACGGAATCCAAACACCCAAAACGGAGTCTGGCTTAGGAAAGCGGAGATAAGACACGCTTATTATTGGAACACACATAACTGGATCTTTACAGCCTAAACATGTCTTTGCCATGAGCCCTAAGCAAGGGGCAGTAGATGATTTTGCTGCCCCTGGAGCAGACCAGATGGCAGATTGTGACCCCCCCCCACCAAGAGTCACATATTTGCTTTTCAGGTTCCCCATTGCTCTGAGGGGGGAATATCTTGTGTCAGGTCTCAAGCTGTCACAGCAGGCTCCTCTTGGTGTGCCAGTGGAGCTACACTAACTGGTGCACTGTGGGAAGGAGGAGGAAGGAGAAGAAGAGCACTCTCCTGTCCCCAGCCCCTTCCACCCACCTGTAAAGAGGTGGGGAAGCAGCCTCTTTATGGAATCTGCTTTCCCTTGACACTGCACTCTATGGTATCAACACCCTGGCATGAGGGAGAGCACCACACCCCCTTGTTCCTCAGTGAGGCTGCACAATACAGGCCACAGCGTAGCCTGTGGTGACCAAGACTTATTTTGTCTCTCATCTAGAAGGTAACACTTCCAGAAGCAGAACTATTCTGGGGCACTGGCTGAGGACAGAATTACGGACCCGGGAGTAAAGAGTCACCAAACCACTTTCTGCAGTGCCAGGTGGTGTTTTTGTCAAGTATTGACCAATCCTGAACCTGATTTAGCTTATGATGACCTCATAAGGGATCTCAGAAGGTAGTGAGCACTTTCAAATCCCTTTGAAGATACTGGCTCTCAACAGCTTCATGAGAACAACAGGCACAATTACTGAAAGGCCCCCACGCACATCTGGAATGCTGAGACATAACCCCGGTCCCCTAGGGTATGTCTACACGACGGCTGGCCCAGGTCAGCTGACTTGGCTCATAGGGCTATAAAACTGCAGTGTAGATGTTCAGGCTCAAGCAGGCCAAGCCCAGGTCAGCTGACTGGGGCCAGAAGCGGCTGTGTCGCAGGTTCATTTATCGTAGCTTCCTAAACATGTGCTCCTGCCACTTCACTAAGGCAGTATTCCTTTAGCTCACAAGTAGTATTAGGCCCATATATGTATCACATACAAAAAGCCAATACACTACAACACTCCAAGAACTCCACTGGCTTCCCATGCTTTCAGATGCAGCCACGGTTTTGGTTTAATTCTATAAAGTCCTACATGCTTCAGGGAATGACTGTTTTAAGGACTACCCCTCTCCTGAATCATCTTTGTTAACAATCTCTGGGTGTACGCTTTTGGAGACCTTTAGCAGAGAGTCCAAAGCTGTAGCGCAAACTCCCAATAAGGGCCTGTCATAATTCACGGAGAATCCGAGTGCAAAGCAAATCATGACTTTTTGGTCAAGCATCTGGATTGTCAATGAACAAGCAGCTCGTGGGCAAGGAGCTACCTGTGTCGATCAGTGCAGCCCGGTAAACTTATTGTGACACTACATTTCATCTTTATAACGTGTCCAGATATTGTGGCAATGGGTGCAGAAAGTACATTTTAAAATATATAATTAAACAAATGTATGGATCGATCTCTCTCCTCAAACCAAGGAGACCAAAATACCTTGACCAAATCAAAAGATGGCTAACTAGTGTGTCTACAAAATATTCTAGAGTACACAGGAGAAATTATTCTGGTAAGCATACAAGCGAATTCCTACAATAGCTCTCTCCTTTTTTGGCTCCCAAAATGTTTTCAGACCACGATTTTGGCAGGTTACTTCCCTGAATACTTTGATTTCAGAGTCAACATGTTGAACGTACAGAATAGTCAAACAGACTTAATGTATCCATATTAGGTATACAAATAGGTCTTCTACTCTGGAGTTTATTCATGACACAATGTTTAAGGGGGAGTGGTGCCAAGCACTGAAAAGAGAGGTGTTATATATTTATTGTGTGGCTTGCTGCATGATGGTGGCAGTGAATGGTCAGGTTATGCTTTCCATCTATGAGGCTTCCCATAATAAAAAGGAAAGAGGAAGCAGAAAGCCAAGGGATTTAAGGTAAGTCTAGACCAGCGGCGGCTCCAGGCACCAGCGCTCCAAGCACGTGCCTGGGGCGGCAAGCCGCAGGGGGCGCCCTGCCGGTCCCTGCGAGGGCAGCAGGCAGGTGGCTTTCGGTAGCTTGCCTGCGGGAGGTCCGCCGGTCCCGCGGATTTGGCGGCAATTCGGCGGCGGGTACGCCGAAGCCGCGGGACTGGCGGACCTCACGCAGGCATGCCGCCGAAGCCGCGGGACCGGGGACCTCACGCAGGCATGCCGCCGAAGCCGCGGGACCGGGGACCTCACGCAGGCATGCCGCCGAAGCCGCGGGACCGGGGACCTCACGCAGGCATGCCGCCGAAGCCGCAGGACCGGGGACCTCACGCAGGCATGCCGCCGAAGGCAGCCTGCCTGCCGTGCTTGGGGCGGCAAAAAGGCTAGAGCCACCCCTGGTCTAGACAGAAAACACAGGTGTGATTGCAGCTCAGATAGATACATCTGAGACAGCTTTATTTTAGCTAGCTCACGTACCAGTAGTAATACATTTGTGGCAGCTTGTGCTTCAATGCAGCCTACACTTCTTCCCCCGCACCTGGGCACTGTTTAACTGTGGAATACCTTAGCTACTTCTGCATTTTCTGCTACCATGTACGTGAAGCTGATGTTCACCAGATCTGTGCCACTGCAGACACACACTATCCGCCCTTCCAGGTCATTTTCTGCATTTCCCACCGTCTCAAGAGCAGCTAGGATTTTGGGATCCTGTTAAACGGAACAAACGCCTTGTTAAATGCACAGTACAAAGATTAAGTTAAAAACACATCTCAGGTTCACATGCATTGAGACTGTAAATATTTCCCAGTCACCTTAAACGAGTTCTTTCATTTAGAATCTATGGGCATGGTTGGGAAAAAAAAATCTAATTTAATAATCACTGAATGTGGCTGAATCACAAAAGCAGAGAGATAATTGCAGTATTTTAAATACATTTCAGAAAATTACATACATTACCTCCACAGAGAAGGGAAATGGAAGACTTTTAAGGACCGGTAATAGTTTATGGAAATTCTTAACTCTATCTAAATAAATTATTCCAATCCAAATCAGTAGTGACCAAAAGTAGTTATTTGCATGGAATGAGTGGGTGATTTCTCTCCATTTCTTAGCAGCACATCTGGTGCTCTTTGGTACCTTTACTAGCAGTCAAGAGCCATAGATTTAATAAGCCCAGAGACTGAACTATTCATAGAAATTGGGAATATTTTGAAGCATATTTGAAGTTTGAAGCATATTCGTGGGGCATCATGGGGAAGTCTGCACTGCCTTAGCCCATGACCTACTTTGTTGGCTGAAGATTTCAGTCTATTACCTTGCAAGAGAACTAACTTCGCTAAAAAATAAATAAATCTATGATTAAAGTGAAAAATCTATGATTTTTAAGTAGAACCACAGTCTGCTTGAAGCTTTTGTATTTGACATCACCAGACAACTAGACAGCAAAACTCTTAAAGAGACACTGTGAAGCAATTATGCCCAAATTTCATCTCCGAAAGATGTCTAATTTCCAAATGCATTTTAAAAAGAAATCTATATTAGAAAATATTTTAAAAGCTACGATTTCTGCAGAACCCTCAGGTGGTCCCTCTGCAGATTGCCATTGAAACAGCAGTTAATAATCACAAGTCCCAGAGCTGTCCTGAAATAATTGATAATTTAAGTGTCTAAAACAAGGAAGCAAACAAAAATGTCAGTGAAACACAGGAACACATCTTGAATGACCAAGGAAAAAAATTAAACCAGAAAATATTTTCAACCTCCTAAAATGATGATATAATAGTTCAAAAAATAATTTAAAAACCCTTGACAGGATCCTTTTAATATTTAGTGCCCAGATTTCACAGCCTCTTGGAAGGTCAGCACTGACATGGCATATTACCATATTACAAATCCTTGACACTGAAATAAAATAAAACCACTTAATCTTAAAGCTAAATGTTTTAGGCTATGATTTTACAAGCAAAATTGTGCTGGCAGTATTTTGTAACAAGCTGCACTGCATTCCCCACTTCACCTTCAGCTTAAACACTCTTTGTTTAAAAGAACAGTATAAACTAATTACAGAGTACCTTTGGTACAGCTCCAAGACGAATACTGTTGATCAGGGAGCATTCTAATACCTGTCCTTCCTAGAACGGCAAGAGAAAGCATGTTAGCTAAAAGGTCTGGCGAAACACAGTGCAGATCCAAATAGGAAGTGAAGCAAAAATAAACAATGAGTCTTAAATGCAATTGCACTTAATTAACACAAAACAGGGTATTTTCTTTTCATGTCTGTTAATAACCTGTCAAGTATTTCACTTATGTAACTTCTAAAAACACAGGAGCCAAGCTATCTTACTGTAAATAGTTACAAAGCCACATGTAATTTTTTGTGATTAAAAATTAGCCAGGAAACAAACCAAGTGCAACAACATAGGCAGACAGTAATGTTCCTGGTACAACAGTACTGTACCTTTCCTTCACTTTTCCACCTTAGGAAAAAACCAAATTCATCCACTTGAAAGAGACAGTTTGGTTCGAAGACAAAGGACTCCTGTTGAAAGGGAAATATAACAAAATATCTTGGTGATGTTGACAAATATTGTCAGGCATTAATTTGCTGCTCAAAACTTCAGATCTTTTACCTTTTCCCCAACTGCCTTGCAGTATTGCCAATCCCAATCATTCAAATATCATGAATCAGTCGGCAGAAATCATGAGATATTTTTAAAAATCTCATGATTTTTAAGCCTAATAAATATTAGAACTTTTTTTTATTTGACTTCTGGGTTTTGAGACATTACAGCAGACTCAGTTCTCATCTTCAGGCCTTTCTCCACAGCCACAAGTGCTAGAAACTTCTCTTTCTAAATGAAAGCTGATTTTCTCACCTAATCACAGGCTTCCAAAAAGAACCTCACCAAATATTGTGAGGCTTGCAAGAATTGGCAGCACTGCTTGGGATCGAACCACCACATTTTGCAATGACTTTGGGGATTCAGGGGAAGGGCTTTCGCAAAAGTTGGACCCTCACAGAAGAACTTATAGAAAGTACACACAAAAATATATTGCAGAGTGTTAGTCTGGCAGAGGAGATAAGTATATAAAGCAGTTCGGAAGGAGTGGAAAACCACAGAGATTAGATTAAAAAAACAAAACAAAAACCAATCAGGTCAGCCTTACTAAAAAAACCAAAACCAAAACATGCATGCCCACCCCCAAAACTATTTTAATGTCAGAAGTGAAACTAAAACGTAAGGAAACATCCCACTGTGCCGAATCAGTCATTTTTAAAGGGAACAAAAAGCCCAGCCTCGACCAATCTTTTTTTAATTAAAAAAGATTACTTTATAACAAACAGCGAGCATGTGTGCAGGGAGCAGAGATGCTGTGAGTGACAGAGGGTAGCACTTTATTTTGTGTGTAAAGGAAAGGGCTGCAGTTAGGTTTTGAAAACACCCTGTCCTCTCCAACGCAGGACAGCCAGGGCAGCAAGCCCATGCAGACACACGGGGCCATTTTCCACACAAAAGGCTCATGCGGATAGGAGGAATTTTAAGTTCTCTGACTCAGTTAGCACCATCCCACAAGCCCTCCATGCCAGGAACACTCATTTAAGTTAATAAGAGTTTTGCTGCAGGATGGGCCACAAAGAAGCCAGATCAGCCTACTACCTCACTCCCTTGACCCGGAACACATTCAGCACTGAAGAGCATCTGCCTCTTAAATAACAGCACAAAGCACATACAGCACTTTTCAGCTTCAAAGCACTTCGCAAATATTAATTACTGCAGCACCACCGTGAGGTAGGAAACAATTATCTTCATTTTACAGAGAGGGAAACAGAGAGAAGAGTTAGAATTTGCCATAGATTCAGGGACAGAGTCAGGCCTGGCTATCAGGTGCTTCTTGGGCCCTCTTCTATATCCAGGCTGCTAGACAACAGCTTACTGCCTTTTCCTTAATCCTCGCACTTCATAAAATGTACCGGATGCAAACTTCCCCAGAATCACAGGTTTTATAGCTCCGGGGTATCCCTATAAAGCTGCATATATAAAAACTGCAGCTAGCCACCTGTTAAAGGGAGAGACTTTTAAAATCTGCATGGAATAGAGCAGTGGTTCTGAACCATTTTGGGTTCAGGGCAGGACCCATTTGTAAACGTTTATAGCCTGTCGTCACCCAGTAAATAGTCTGGGGGTGGAGGCCCTGGCATAGGCGCCGACTTCTGCTCACGCCGGTGGGTGCTCGACCTCCCTCTTCCCCCGGCCCCACCCCGACTCCACCCCTGCCCTGCCCCCTCTCACCTCTGCTCCGCCCCCATTCCAACCCCTTCCCTAAAGTCCCTGCCCCAACTCCACTCCCTCCCTGCCCCTATTCTGACTCCTTCCCCAAATCCCTGCCCTGGCCCCGCCTCTTCCCTTGAGTGCGCCACATTGCCGCTCCTCCCCACTCCCTCCTGGAGCTTGCTACACCGCCAAACAGCTGTTTGGTGGTAGCAAGTGCTGGGAGGTAGGCGGAGGAGCAGGGACGCGGTGCGCTCAGGGGAGGAGGCAGAGGAGGAGGAGGAGGTGAGGTGGGATGGGGAGCTTGGCTGCCGGTGGGTGCAGAGCACCCACTAATTTTTCCCCGGGGGTGCTCCAGCACCAGAGCACCCACGGAGTCTGCACCTATGGGCCCTGGGGTGTTTTTGGTCTGATCCTGCCCCCTGGAGAGGTTGAGTCGTGTCCAGCACTTACCTCACAGTGGCAGCTCCTGTGCTGTGGGGCTGGCTGGACTTGGCTCTCTGCACCAGGAGTTGCAACCTCCAGGGTTGCGGTGCCACTCAGGTTTGGGCCCGTGCCCAGTTGGACCAAATGTGTGCGAGTGGAGTTGTGACGTGGCTCATGGGGTGGCAGGGCCACTCACTCACCCTTGGTCTACCCGGACTCCCATCATCATGACAGCTGGGCGAAACCTGAGTGGTGCTGGGACCCCAGAGGTTGCAGTGCCTGGAGCAGGGAAGTGAGCCCAGCCAGCCCCATGGGACAGGAGCCACCACGCAACCCTTTGAAATGTTCTGACAACCCAATTTTGGGTCCCGGCTCAGGCTGAGAAACCCTGGAATAGAGGTTCTCCTCAATAAGCAAGGTCAATGCAAATAAAATGGGGAAATTTTTCATTGCTTGTTGCATCCCCATGTGACTAAAATCTCTCAGTATAAAATTAACATTTCCTACAAAGATGGCCACATAATGGTCTCTGTTGCACATCTCTGCTTTGCCTGTTTAGGATGGAAGTTCAATATAGAATTTCATTGGGAGCTGGGTGCCTAAATCCCTTAGGCCCTTTTGAAAATCCCAAACTAAGATTATAAATCCTTCGCCGGAGGGCTCTTGCTATGGGTATGTACAATGCCTAGCACAAACCTGGTTAGGATATCTAGGCATGATAATAATAATATCCCAACCAACCACAAAGGGGCTGGGCTTACAAGTGTTCTGTGGCAAAATGGGGTAAATTTACCATGTAGTACTTACAACAAACAATAAGGATACAGAATACCGCATGTTTTCTGCTTTAAATAAGGCAGGTAGGACCCCTATTAGCAGTCAGTGTAAAAAGAAGTGCACATGATTCAAAATGCAGTGAATGCAACACAGCACAGCACTTAATAAAACCTGATTTATACATACAACGACAAGGCCTAATTCCATTCCCAAATGTCCAAATAGATTAGGTAGGTGAAATTACTAGCAATTAAAATAAGGGTCAGTCCTTTTTCCATTCTGAAGAGACCCACTGCCTCTGAAGTCTGTTCCACTGTTAAATGCTGTACCATTCACATGGTTAGTGCTGTAAAACTGCAGCCCTGGCCCTAGCCACTAAACAGAATGAAAATGCCGAATAGCACCGGACCTAGGACTGACCTCTGTAGGACCCTACTGGATACGCCAGCCCAGTTTCATGGGGAACCACTGATAACTACTCTTTGAGTATGGTCTTTCAACTAGTTGTGTACCCACCTTATAGTAATTTCATCTAGACCACATTTCTCTAGTTTGCTTATGAGAACGACATGTGGGAGACAGTGTCAAAAGTCTTACTATAATCAACATATATCACATCTACTGTTTCCTCCCTATCCCCTAGGCCGGAAACCCTGTCAAAGAAGGAAATTAGGTTAGTCTGGCATGACAAATCCAAGCTCGCTATTCTTTATAACCATATTATCCTCTAGGTATTTACAAACTGTTTAATAATTTATTCCAGTATCTTTCCAGGTATCAAAGTTAGGCTGACTGGCCTATAATTTCCTGTGAGCCACAAGTTGTAACTTGTACTTTGAAAATGTCTGCCTGCCTTTAGAAGGGACTGAATAACCAACCCAGGACAGCAAGGAACCTGTTACTTTATCTTGTACTGTGCGAGAGAACAACAATGGGGTGATCATTATTAAACATTCTTGGATGCAAAACCACACACATTCCGTTGGATCAGCTGAGCCCAATTTTTTTAGCAACATTTACCAAACATGTTTCCTATTAGTTTACCTAATCCAGCACTGAAAGTGGGGATAAGAAAGCTAGGTCTATCTTGGCAGGTGACTATGATACAAATACTTTTTGTTCATTTCAAGAGATTAAAGGAAAACATAATATCCCTGAAGGCATTTCTCAAAATACTTTTAACTTAGAGATTTTCAGGCAAATAAAAAAAGATTAAAAACAAACCTTAGTAAAACGATTTTCATAGGCAAATTGATGTTGAATATAAGGCAAAGGTCTCTGCATTTTATTTTGGAAGCTTATATCAAATGTTATGTCCCACTTTCCTTTCCTTCAACAGACCTGGATTAAAGTGCGGCTGAAAGCAGGATCATATTAATCATATTCCAGATAAAGCATAGGTCGATTGACTAAAGGAGATAAAACCACCCTTGATTTTAAATGGTGTCTTTGATTTACAGTGTAAATGTTTTGGTGACCTTCTATTTTTCCATACAGCATGTAGGTTCTTAGTCTATTTTCACAAGTAGGAGCACTCATTCCAAAAATAGTAAGTTTAAAAAAAGGACAGTGTTCACTTTTGGGGGGGAATGTGCTTTGTGTACTATACTATGACGACTCCACAACAGAGAGCTGCATGTCTGTTACAGACAGAAGGGATTTAAATCAAAGTGTTTCGCTTACTCGGGGATTATTTTCAAATCGGAGGATTAAATCAGCCATTGCAAAATGTATTTTAAATGGGTTTTTTTGGTAGCAAGAAATTGTATCGTAACAAAGTGTTAATATTTATTTTCTACCTTCATGCAGATTTTCTGTTTGAAACTTTTATTTGTTTAAAATCTTAAGAAAAAAAATATTTTTGTAACATTTGCAACATCTAGAAAAGACAGGGAAAGGGAGAGGAACATTATTCAACTGGCCCCTTACCTCTTCGTATCTGTCAAACACAGCTCCATCTTGCATAAAGGAAGGGACTGACTTCTGCCAGTTAAATTCATAAGGTTTTGCCATGATTATGTGTGAAAAACCTGAAATGAAATGGAAAGAAACAGCATAGTTCAATTGTTGCTTTCTATAAGGAAGACTGTTGGAGACAAACAGCTGGCTTTCCTTGCAGCAAAACAGTTTATAAAAACACAATCGTGGGTTTGCATATTAAGAGTTTTCCTCACATCATGTTATATTTTTGATCAAAGATAAACTAATTTTAAAAGTAGAATACGACTGAAAAATGTTTTAAAGAGTGACTAAACATGACAATTATCCAAAAGACGACTGCAGATTGTATTATTAATAGGGTCCTACCAAATTCACGGCCATAAAAAACGGACTGTGAAATCTGGTCTCCCCCCGTAAAATCTGGTGTTAGGTGTGCTTTTACCCTATACTATACAGATTTCACACGGGAGACCAATCTTTCTCAAATTGGGGGTCTTGACCCGAAAGGGATTTGCAGGGGGGTTGCAAGGTTATTTTAGGGGGGTCACGGTATTGCCACCCTTTCTTCTGCACTGCCTTCAGAGCTGAGCGGCTGGAGAGCGGTGGCTGTTGGCAGGGTGAGCTGCCAGCAGCAGCGCGGAAGCAAGGGTGGCAATACCATACCATGCCACCCTTACTTCTGCGCTGCTGCCTTCAGAGCTGGGCGGCAGGAAAGTGGCAGCTGCTGACTGAGGGCCCAGCTCTGCAGGCAGCAGTGCAGAAGTAAGGGTGGCAATACCATACAATGTCATCCTTACTACTGCACTGCTGCTGGCAGCGGCTCTGGCTTCAGAGCTGGGCTCCCGGCCAGCAGCCGCTGCTCTCCAGCTGACCAACTCTGAAGGCAGCGCCGCCACCAGCAGCAGCGCAGAAGTAAGGGTAGCAGTACCGCAACCCCCCCTACAATAACCTTGCAACCCACCCCACAACTCCTTTTTGAGTCAGGACCCCTACAATTATAACATCGTGAAATTTCAGATTTAAAATAGCTGAAATCATGAAATGTACGATTTTAAAAATCCTATGACTATGAAATTGACCAAAATGGACCGTGATTTTGGTAGGGCCCTAATCATTAATCAATTTAAATACCTGCTTAAATCAATGCAAGAGTTTAATTAGCTACAGATTAATGTACACCTAAGTAACATTCATTAGCACAGCTGATAATATATGCAAGCATTTCACTGAAAGTAAGTGCTATAGCAGAATCACGTACTAAAAAGCAAAATGTTTTTACATTTTTATTCTGGATTTTTTATTTCAGAAGCCATTTACTCAACACAGAAAACCAGCTATTTTCAGCAATATTTTTATACGCATCTCATATTATCTATATTTATATAAGATATGCAGGTATATTATGCAGGTAATGATTCACAGAAGAGAATCTGTAGAGGAGTAGAGAGTACGGAAGGAGGTTTATCTACCATTACTGTGGATTTTTGTACAAGTTGAACGACACATGGACTAACAGTCACTATTAATTCAGGATCCAACTAAAACATCAGGGTACAAAGTGCATTTGAATTTAGACAATGTTTTTTAAAAACCAACATAGTATGAGCAGGATACTATACCCGAACATGCCTTACTCATATTGCATCACTGTGCAAATAGTGCCATCGCATACCATTTAACACCCTGTCAAATACTGAATTGACAGCATCTAATGTACAAATTGTTATGTCCAATTTGGCGGTGACTTGCCTGCATACAAGTGCACTCTAGGATGCACAATATCCTGATAGTTCCAGTAAATTGATGGGTGGGGAAACTCTTGTATTAACAATAATGCATGTTGAATTAGTGTGGAAGGTTGGGAATCTCTCTGCCTCAAGGGAATCAACAATTTAATTTTTTGAAACCATGTATTAGCATGGCTGCTTCCGGATTCAATCACTATATTTTATCCTATAAAAAACTATCATATATCTCATAGGTGAAAACTAGATTATAATCTGGAATTCTGTAATTTCATTGTTTTTAAAGTCAATAAACCTGGGGGGAGGGATGTATTTAAAACCTTAGGGGCCAGACACTAATACTTCTATTCATGCTGCCCAGTATCCTGTTCTGTGAGAAGCTCCAGCTGATTTCAGTAGGACTGTTTGTCATCAGATACTACACGTTGGGAGGAAAGATGGCAGAATCTGGCTGTTAGTCATTATCAAGGCTCCAACTTAAAATCTTTGGTCCAGACTGAGATGTAGGCACTGCGCTCAGCAAGGGGTGGTGTGTAAGCACCACCATCCCAGGAGTAATTCCAGGAGGCACTGTGTCAGACACGCCCAAGACACCACTTTTCCCATGCTTCCTTCTTGCTCCCAGGTGGTCGTAATATGCTGCTAGCCTATATCAGCAGTATATAGGCGAGACAGCCAGTGAACGTATAGTACAACCAAGGCTCTGCCAATGCCCTGCCCACTTTGCACACACCTGTTCCAGGCAGGAGGTGACCAAGTAGCCTTATTTATTCCTGCACAACCAGACGCAAGGTCCAGATAACCCATCCTGGTGTGTAGTCCAAGTCGCAACTGAGCCTATATGATACAATTTTAGTCCTGATTCTGCACTCCTTACACAGATGAAACTCCTTCTGAGAGCAGGATGAGCCCTTCATGATTAAGGCTAACCTGTAATGGTAAGACTGTGACAAATGCAATCTGCCCTGAGTAAGAGGCAGTGCAAAGCCATACTACTCCACGAGTAGCCCAGACTCTGAGAGGCACAAGGAGGCAATATTTCCTATGTCTGGGCTGGCTCAACTGCACACTGGCAGCCACAGTGAGGGGAGAAGAGTCAAGGCCCAGTCCATTCCACACACTTGCTAATCTATTCTCCGCTCTTTTGCATGGGGGACGGCGTAGTGCCCCATGGAGACTGTCCTTCCATCCACACAATGGGCTCAAGAGGGGTGCCCCTTTTCCCTAATGCAGGCACACTGGGCAAGCAATGATCTTGCCTAAATGAGCATAACGAGACGCTTACGTAAGACTCGGGAGAAGTCTTACTATAGGCTGTGTAATCAGAGTTATGGAAAACTCCTTTGCAGTGTTTGTGCATTACAGAATAGCAGACTAATATACTGTCAACCAGAATTAGAACACGGCTTCCATTAGGCAGAAAGAATGCTCTGAATTTCAACTTTTATTTGATTTTATCTTTAACTTCAGAACAGACATAAGTGTTCCCAAAATGAAGGACTGATATCTTCTTGCTCGCTCTTATCATAAAATTTCCTAACAAAAGAACAAATGGCCTCAAATGGCACCATTAGGAGACTTTGCCAGAGATTGTTTCAAGAACAGATACTTCTGATAAATTTTCCACTTAAAAAAATTGCCTTATTACAGGGGGGAAAACAACCCTGCATTTTTATGCTATTAGTCTTTTCACGTCCTGCCTTTTGTCAAACAGTCGTTGATAAATATATCAAAATACATAGATCAACAGCCTACATGAAACCAGCCAGACCTTCTGAATATGTGAGTTCAATTTATGTACTTTTACTATCAGAAATATAACTGGACAGTGATATATAACATAATTAACATTAATTCTCTGCTTCAGCTGAAAATGCTTCCATTTGCACTAATGCGTAAAACAATAGTCACTATATTCCCAATAAAAAGAATTAGTGGCTATAAATAATATTATCGATTCTTCTCAAGAAGAGAAGACAAAGGACGGGTTTGTGAATAAAGCACGGGCCCAGGTTGTAGGGCACAGGGATTCTACTTGTGCTCTTCCACAAGCTTCTTCCATGACCCTGTCTGTGCACTCAGTATACCACTCCACAGTGGGAATGATGCGTACCTCATGGGGCTGTACAAGATTTTGAGATCCTTGCATGAAAGCCACCATAGTAGTATTATTTCCTTATTATTATTTAAAATTACATTTAAAATTTCAGCCTCTCCCCAGTTTTGATTAAGGGGGAGCTGCCTTTTTCCTCACTCTCAGAAAATTGCAAGTTAGAGATCCCTGTCACAGTTCAGGGTGACAGCACCTGTCTACCCCCTCGGTGATCCACCAAGGGCATCTAACTTTAAGCTCTCAGCTCCTCAGCCATCACTTCTCTTGGGCAGAGACATGTCTCCCTCTCCGTCCTGACCAGGGTTTTTCCAGGCTCCACAATTTCCTGTCTACACTGTGATATCCCAGCAAGCTAGACTGCCTAAACAGGCCGGCATCTGCACTTTGCTTACTCTTTGAAGGCTATGAATAGCATAATTGCCAGCAGTAATAAGTTATCACACAGCTCTTTCTAAGTAAGTATATTCATTCTTAAGGTGAAAGCATTACAGAGAAAACATTAAAAACAATACAAGTTCCTATACCTGTGCTAAAAGCTTACCTAAAGGTCACCGATCAGTATTATGGGGCCTCAGCAACACAAAGTCCTTCCAAGCATTCCCAGGAAGAACTGCCTTTCCCGGCCTTGGACAGAGGCTCCCTGTCCATTTGCAGGATCAGAAAGAATCACAGACGTGTAGGACTGGAAGGGTCATCTAGTCCAGTCCCCTGCACTCAAGGCAGGACTACATAATAACTACACCATTCCTGACAGCTGTTTGTCTAACCTGTTCTTAAAAACCTCCAAATGATGGAGGTTCCACAACTGCCCTAGGCAATTTGTTCCAGTGCTTAACCACCCTGACAGGAAGGTTTTCCTAACATCCAACCTAAACCTCCCTTGCTGCAATTTAAGCCCATTGCTTTTTGTGCTATCCTCAGAAGTTAAAAACAATTTTACACCCTGCTCCTTGTAACAACCTTTCATGTTGTTTTTTTTGCGAACAGGGGCTGCTAACAGGGAGTTTCGCAAGGGAGTTCTCCAGGTGAAGGAGGAGCAATACAGCACCCTTTTGGGGTAAGTGACTGTCTGCAGTGTGTGTTTGTTTGTGTTTGGGGGTTACTTGCTGTGTGCTGAGCTTGTGTTTGGCAGTCTGTTTGTTTGTTTGGTTGTTTGAAGGACCGTGTGCTGTGGCTGACAGTTGGAAGCTGTGAGCTTCAAAGGAAGGTTTGAAACCAGGAAGCCTCTGGT